TATTATTAAAAAGAAATCTGGAAAATGGAGAATGTTAACAGATTTGAGAGCCATAATTAAAGTAATTCAACCAATGGGCTCTCAACAGCCTAGAATTCCTCTGCTTCTCTGTTTACCTAAAGGATGATCTATTATAGTTATTGATTTAAAAGACTGTTTCTTCTCTATATCTTTACAAGAAAAGGATAGAGAAAAATTTGCCTTCACAGTGCTTACTTAAAATAATTCTCAGCCTGTTAAAAGATATTAATGGAAAATTATCCTACAAGGGATATTCAACAGTCCCACCCTGTGCCAATATTTTGGACAACAACCACTGGAAATGCTTCATGTGCAGGTCCTCAATCTATAATTTGCCATTATATGGTTACTATTTTATTAACTGATTCAAATGTAGACACTTTAGAGAAAATGTTTCAAGAAGGAAAGAAAAATTTGCCTTGTTGAAGATTAAAAATTGCTCCTGAAAAAAAAATACAGAGAGGAGATTCTATTAATTACCTAGGATATAAAATAGGTTTACTGAAAATTCAACTCCAGAAGGTACAAATCAGGAGACATCAATTATGGACTCTTAATGACTTTCAAAAATTTCTGGGAGATATTAACTAGCTATGTCCCACAATTAGATTGACAACTCAAGAACTAAGTAATTTATTTCAAACTTTAAAAGGTGATAAGGACTTAAATAGTCCAAGAAAATTCTCTGCTGAGAGAGAACTGACTTTGGTAGAAAAGAAATTGCAGGATGTACATGTGGATTGTTTGGATCGAGAGCTGAATTTATTCTGGTTATTTTACCTTCTACAAACTCCCATACAGTAATTTTAATGCAGAGAGGGGATAATATCTTAGAATTGGGTGGATATTCTTACCACACAAACAGAGTAAGAACTGAAAGGCCTGCGTAGAAAAGGTTTCTGAGAGAAAAATATGCCTTCTAAAAGGGAAATTGAGACTTTGTCAATTTATCAGGAATAGAGCCAAGCAGAAATTGTAGTACTGTTTACTAATGCTGAAATTTCCTCTTTATGGGCAGAAAATAAACATTGGCAAGGAGCTTGCAGTAGTTTTTGAGAGAGGTTAACAACAAATACCCCAAAAGCAAGAGAATTCAGTTTATACAGAAAACTAATTGGATTCTTCCTCATATTGTAAGGGGAACACCAATTTCTGGAGCTCCTACATTCTATAATGATATAAACAAATAAGGAAAGGCAGGTTATCAATCAGGAAATGTGTGTAGAGTGGCTCAAAGTCCTTATCATTCTGTTCAAAAGTCAGGACTATATGCTATTCTCATGGTATTATTAGATTTTCTAGAACCTCTTAGTATGGTTACTGACTCTCATATGCAAAAAGAGTTTCTTTATATTTTTAAACTGCTGAATTTATTCCAGATGATACAAAATTGATTTTATTATTTATTCAGTTATCAGAAATAGAAATCACTCCTTTTATATAACACATATGCCCATATGGGTATACCAGGCCCTCTAGTACAAGGTAAAGATGAAATTGATACTACTTTTGGTAGGAAATGTTCTAGAAGCCTCAGAATTTAAAAAAAAAAAACACTGCCAATAGCAAGGGTTTGAAAAAAAGTTTTTCCCATCACTTGGCAATAAGGCAAGGAAACCAAAACTCCACCACCTACAGAAAGTAACCCAAAGGGTACTGAAAGAAATGGATTCTGGCAAATGGACACATTTTATTTTACAGAATTTGGAAAATTAAAATATGTATGCCATACCATAGATACATATTCAGGATTTAATTGGGCAGTGTTTTGAGTTCTGAAAAGGCTGATTCTGTACGCATTTATTAGAAGTTAAGATTTATTATGTTCCAGCATATGTCTCTAGTAAAATGAAATGTTTTTAGCATATTAGAACATATTAATTTATTATTAACATATATTAACCTATTACAGGTATACCACACAATCCTACAGGGCAAGCAGTTATAGAAAAACCTAACTGAACTCTAAAAGATATGCTTGATAAACAGAAAGGAGTAATAAAGACCCTCAGAAATAGATTGCACAAAGCTTTATTAACATTAAATTTTCTAAATTCTGATGAGAAAGGAACAACAGCTTTGGAGAGATGTTGGATAATAGAAAAAAAAAAAACCACTGAATTAAATCAACGTGTACACTTTAAAGATGTGTTGACCTCAGAATGGAATACAGCAACAGGCAATGGTAGCTCACAACTTTAATCCCAACACTCGGGAGAAAGAGGCAGGTGGATCTAGACCAGCCTGGTCTACAAGAGCTAGTTCCAGGACAGCCTCCAAAGCCACAGAGAAAAACCCTGTCTCAAAAAAAAAAAAAAGGAATCCAGCATATGTGTTATGTTTGTGAAGAGGTTTTGCTTTTGCTTCCAAAAGAAAAGCTATGGATACCATCAACACTGATAAAGATTAGATTTGAACAAGAGAGACCTCTTAAGTTGATTAGTATGACCATTCAATCTAAACTAACTTAAAGACTAGCAAATGCTTTTCATTTGATGAGATATAACTTGCCAAAAGTGAAAGGGAAAAGAAAAGAAAAAGAATACATAGCTGAAAACATACATAAAACTTTGTGACCGGTGGTGGCACACGCCTTCAATCCCAGCACTCGGGAAGCAGAGGCAGGCAATCTCTGTGAGTTTGAGACCAGCCTGATCTACAGAGCTATTTCCAGGACAGGCTCCAAAGCCACAAAGAAATGCTGCCTCAAAAAAACAAACAAACAAACAAAAACAAACAACAACAAAGCTTTGCGCATAGTCTGTATTTATTAAACTAAGATTATTGTTCCCCTCACCTTCACCTCTCTGACCTCTCTGCCAAATTCCTCTTTCCAGAGTAGTTAAATAACAGCCACAGGCTCTGGATACCTGAGACTGTAACTGAGACATCATGACAGGAATGCAACACAACAAAACAGAGCCCAGAAATCATGGGACTTCTGGATCAGAGACATAAATAGGCATTTTGACGTGTTTTCTCCTGGCTGGTACACTGTTGTGCTCTGAAGTTTGCACTTGCCTGTGATCAATAGTTGTACACTCTGAAGTCAGGACAGTAAACAGTGGCACTCATACTGTTTATGATCCCAAGGTTATCTCCTTCCTGTCCCACATGTTTCTGCGCTTTTGCTGCTGTGGCAATCTTTCACCGTGTTTACCTTTCTTGGCTCTATGGGGACCATGTTTCCATCATAGTCCAAAACAGAGCAGAGCTTCAACTTTGACCTCCTGTGGTGTGAGGGTACAAAGACCGCAGTACTGTAAAAGAAAGCATCCAGCACCACAAGCAGATGCCCCAAATCCCTGGCTCAGAAATAGGTGAAGCCGAGCCTCAAATAAATCTGCATGTGGGCAAATGGCATAGCTGTCTGTTTCCCCTCCCACATCCCACACTGTGATAGGTGCAGGGTACTCTTGTAAGGTTTGTACTAAGTGAAAGTTAATTGGTCACTGCCGTCTTCCCATATCCAAGTATCAAAAAGTTAGTTCTCACAAAATGTAAATCCTCACATATTATATTATTATATTAATATCTGATGTGCACTGATATTTAATAATTTTACTTTCTGTTATTATAATGATTAAAATTTCTCAACACAAATTGCTATGAACTATTTTGATGTTATGTGTATCAGTTAAATCTTACTTGGATTACACCTTTATCTGTGTTCCTTGCCCCTTCTCTCCCTTCCCACAGATAACTCCCATTCAGTTACCATTCCACACGAAATTCTACATCTTTTATCCCTACTACCTATGACTACTTCTTCCCATTCCCTTAAGAACTGAGCAAAGCATAATGCCACAGAGGCAGGTATCTCAGTTAGGGTTTCTGTTGCTGTGAAGAGACATCATGACCAAGGCAACTCTTATAAAGGAAAACATTTAATTGGGGCTGGCTTACAGTTCAGACATTTAGTCCATTATTATCATGGTGGAAAGCATGCAGACATGACGGCAGACATGGTGCTAGAAAGGCAGCTGAGAGTTTTACATCTGGGTCGTCAGACAGCAGAAAGAGTGACACTGGGCCTGTCTTGAGCATTTGAAACCACAAAGCCCAACCCCCTACTGATATACTTCCTACTCCAGCAAAGCCACACCTACTCCAATAAGACCACATTTCATAATAGTGCCACTCCCTATGGGACTATGGGGCCATTTTCATTCCAACCAACACAGTATAAAAACGTCATAATGAATTAATTACTTTCTATGGAAAAAAAGTGATGAAAATGAATAACAGTGTTTATTGTGGCACTATTCTTAACAGTCCCAGGAACCGGCCAATGAATGAATGAATAAAGAAAATGTAGCATGCATACACAAACACAGATACACACACACTACACATACACACACACACACACACACACACACACACACACACACACACACACAATGAGACTTTAGCACAGAGAAGAAATCACATTATTTTTAGGAAAATCCAAGGAACTGGAGATGATCATGTTAATTTAATCAAGGAAACTCAGAAAAACAAACATTGTGTGTTTTCTCTCATATGTGGAATCTATGTTTTATAAAGACATAGATGTAGACCAGGACTACTTGTTAAAAGGAATAAAAGTAGATAATGAAGGTGAACCTGAGTAAAGTCCATTTCATCCATGTATGAAAATGTCACAGTGGATTCATTATTTATATAATGCATATATGCCACTAAAAGGAAAAGAATGTATATTGTGTTTGTCGTTTTTCCAAATATAAAAATTTCCACAAAAGCCAAATGTCAAATCCATGAATTTCTCTGTACTTGTCATTCTTCCAGACAATCCAAAGTGCTTTTTCTCCCTAGTGTTCACAACCCTCCAATGACCTGTGCAATCAAGAAGAGGTGGTAAGGGCTGGAGAGATGGCTCAGAGGTTAAGAGCACTGGCTGTTCTTCCAGAGGTCCTGAGTTCAATTCCCAGCACCAACTTGGTGGCTCACATCTATAATAAGATATAGTGCTCTCTTCTGGTTTGCAGGTGTATATGCAGGCACAACACTATACATGATAGATAGATAGATAGATAGATAGATAGATAGATAGATAGATAGATAGATGAGGTGGTAAAAGTGACAACTCACCAAACTGTTACAGAAGATGCTGAGGATTCCTGACACTCTCCATGCTGTGTGACTACCAGCCCTCCTCCTGGGAGACATAGGCATCAATATGCCAGTCACGTGAGTGAGCAGTGAGAGTGCTTCTGCTAAAATGCTCCCAGCTGTCAGGCTGTAGCCCTGACCATACCTTTGCTGTATCTCTTGAGAAAATGGGTCAGGAACACATTAATAAAACACTCCCAAATTTCAAGCTCTGAAAAATTGTAAAACAGGACATTTTAATTGTTTAATCACTGAGTTTCAGACAATTTGTTATAGAGCACTCATAGATTGCTGGCTTTGATTTTAACAGCTCAAGATTAGATTGGCCTATGAGCATGTCTATGGGAGATTGTCTTGATTGTTGATTGATGTAGGAAGGTTCAGCCCACTGTGGGTAGTACCATTCCCTGGGCAGCTGGCCCTGAGCTATATAAAAAGTGAACTAAGCATGAGCCCGATCAAGCCGGTAAGCAGGGTAACCCTGTTTCCGGTAAGCTTCCCACCTTCACTTCCTCCCGACTTCCCTCAAGGAGAGAATGTGACCTGGAATTGGAAGCCAAACAAACCCTTTCTTCCTAGGTTGCTTTTTATAAGGGTGTTTTACCACAGCAACAGAAAGGGGATTAGAACGAAAGAGGACTGTGAGAAGGGAAAAGGAAGTTATGGGGAAGAGGAAGGGTGATCGAATCCATGTGCCATGCGAGCAGAAAGTGGACTACTGGGGTGGAACAGCACAAAGGAGATGGAAGAGAAGGAAGGAAATACAAATTATGTGTAAAATTGCCAGAATGAAACCCACTACTTTGTAGGGTAGTGCATAATAAAAACTTAATTCTATAAAGACAGGAAAGGTCTAGAAAGAAGTGTGTGGGAAATGGGAAAAAGCTGGTCATTAGTAAGTCTATGCAAGTAAAGCATAAATCTAGAATCAGCCAACACACCCTTCAATAGTTCTAGCTTCATTTCTGTTGCTGTAATAAAACTCCCCAATCGAAAGCAACTTAGGGAACAGAGGGCTTGATGGGGGGAAGTCTTTTGTAAATATGTTTCTCTTATTGGTTGATTAATAAAACACTGTTGACCAATAGGGAAGCAAGATAGGCAGGACTAGGAGACAAGGAGGATTCTGGAAGGTATAGGTAGGCACAGTGAGTCACGATGTAGGCAAGAGGAGTAACGTGTCTCTGGACATTTTTCCAGTAAGAGAAGACCACGTGAAAATACTTAGATTGATAGAAATGGGTTGGAAATTAAGTCCGAGCTCAATAAGAAGCTCAAACCCTAGGTATTGGCCAACAGTTTGATAATTAATATAGTGTCTCCTGTGTTATTTGGGGGCACCAAGGCGGCTTCGGAACTGGGTGGGAATCCCGAAACAAGGGCTCACTGAACTTCAGGCCCAAGTCACAGTCCACTCAGGGGAAGTCAAGGCAGGAAGTCAGGCAGCTAGTCTCATCATATCCTCAGTCAAGAACAGGAGTGAATATGCATTATCCTTGCTCACTTGTACCCAGGCTGCTACCTTCTCTTTTAAACAGTTCAGGGCCCAGGACATGAAAAGACTCAGCCCACATTCAGGGTGGGTCTTCCATCACACCTCAATCTTCAGCATCAATCTCCCATCAATCTTCCATCACACCTGAAGGCAGGAAAAACAGTCCTCTGCAAGCATGCCCACAGGTTATTCCCATCTAGGCAGTTCCTCACTCAGGCACTCTTGTAAAGTGATTCTAGGTTGCCACAGGTTACCATTTCAAAACTAACCATCACAATAGGGAAGTGAGTAAATGAACCATGGCATATACCCAATAGAGTATTGTTTGACAATGCAAGCCAATCAGCTCTTAGCTAGCCTGGACTATATAGCATGACCCTATCTCAAAAAAAGAAGGAAGAGAAGAAGGGGAGAAAAGGGGAAAGAGAGGTAGGGAAGAAAGGAGGGAGGGAGAAGAGGAGAGGAGGGGAGGGGGAGTTGGGGAGGAGAAAGAAGGGGAATGGAAGAGGAAGGAAAGGGGAGAAGGAAAAGAAGGGAAGGGACAAGAAAGACACTATCAAGCCAAAACAACAAACAAACAAACAAACAAAACTGCGAAGAAATTTAAATGCCTATCATGAAGTGGAGAAGCCTCCATACTGTAGAGTTCCTCCAACCCTGTAGAAGAGACAAAACCATGGAAGCATTTAAAGACCAGAGGCTCCCATGAGCTCGACATGAAGGAGCTCCAAATGTACAGAGTGCAGAGGGATCCTGGGTGGGAAGTCCTGGGAGAGGCTGAGCCTGGACACACAGAACACTCACCCAGTGACTTGGTGTACACTGTGGGCTTGGGATGACAATACTGCGTCAGTGCGGCATCAACGAGTGACAGGATGTTGACAGAGGAACCGTGGTAGCCAGGTGCGTGAGGGTAGGACAGGGTGTGTGGGAACTCGCTTCTTGCCACTCAGTTTTTCTGTAAACCTGCTAACAGAATTCATTAGTAATTTTTAAAATACAATGCAGCTTAAATGTTGCCAAGCAACTAGAAACACTGCCCAAATGCAGGGCCCCCCAAGATGTGCGCTGGCAGTCCCTACTTCCTCACCCAATTGCCTTACCTCTCCTGGACACCCAAAGGAGCACTGGTCTCTTCACTCCCATAAATGATGTCCCCTGACCACCCCAAGGCTTTGCCAAATGTCACTGTGTGACCAGGGTACCAAATCTGAAACTCATGACGACATAAGCTTCTTTCAAGTCTCCTCTTAGGCTTCATTTGATTGTCACATAAAGGAATACAGGCCAGAGTCAGGCATGGTGACTCACACCCATAATCCCAGTACTCAGAAGGTAGGAGGGTCACTGTCATTTCAAAGCCAGCCTGGGCCAACGAGCAAGATGGGTATCAAAAATAAAATAAAACAAACAGAAGATAATACAGAATGGTGTGTGGTAAAGACATCCAAACTCCGCAAAGAAACAGGAATAATTTGTTATAATTTGGCTAGTTCTGTAATAACTACTTGGGGAATTCAATTCTAATCTTCAAATTTAGCCCCAGATAGATTAAAATTCCTGATGCAAAGATGGAATCCCAAAAGTACTAGAAGGCAGCAGAGTTCTTCCATGGTTTCAGTTCCTGCCTCCGGGTTCCTGTGCTGACTTCCCTCAGTGACGGACTGTTACCTGGACATATAAGATGAAACAAACCCTTTCCTACCCAAGTTGTTTTTGGTCATGGCCTTTATCACGGCAATAGAAACCCTAAGGCCCCGGCCCATGGGACAGCACCATCTACAGTCAAGGTGGCTTTTCTCTCCTCAGTTCAATTTCTGCAGAAACACCTCCGACATATAGGCCCAGTTTGTCTCCTAGATGATTCTATATTCCACCCAAACTGTCACATTTAGCCATCATAGAGGCTAACAAGAAAATCAGGTGTTCCAGGAGTGGTAGTGCATGACCTTAAGCCCAGAACTTTGGAGGCAGAGGCAGACAGATCTCTGAGTTCAAGGCCAGGCTGACTTACAGAGCAACAGCCAGGGCTACAGAGAGAAACCCTGCCTTGAAAAACAAAACAAAACAGAAAAGAAAAATTTCAGAACTGTGTAAACATCAGGCTTCTATTGCTGCAGTAAGAGATGGGGGATATTTGTTATGCACACTGAGAACTTGGGGTCACTGCTGCCCCTGGAGAGAGTACGGCACTAGGAAGTCTTGCTTGTTTTTCACCATTTACCATTCTTATCTTTTTCAATTTTTACCATATGCTTTTATTACTTTTTCAATTAAAAGCACTTAGTTTAAAAAAAAAAAAGGAAAAGCAACTTGGAAACAAGAAATTTGTACCTTAGAGGATTGTGAAGGAAATGAAAGTTTGAAAAATAAAAAGATCGCATATAGTAAGCATTGGAACAATTTCATAGACTTCAATGGAGTGGAGATCTGGGGCTGAAAATGAATAAACCATTGCCAAAGTGATGGGGGGGGGGCAGGGCAATGGGAATGAAGTGTCTGGAAGCGGAAAGGTAGCCACGAGAGACAAGGTGGGGGCCTCTGTGTACTTCACAAGGTTTCCACTGTCCCCTGGAGAAGCCAGAGGCTGACACACAGAGCACAGTCTGGGTTCAAAAAGTAAGGGGTGGAGAGGGAGGGAGGAAGGAAGAGAGGGAAAGAGACTAAGCTATTGGGCACCAGTGTGTGGTGGGTTCACACTCCCTCCGGGCCAATTCTCGGGCTTTGTGGCTTTGGTCTGAAAAGAAGGTTGAACATGGGGAACCGGGTGTGGTAAAGGCTAACCCTGGCCTGGCCTGCTTCTGCCAACATGGGAGAGTCGGATCTGAGAGGCTGTTGAGTGAGAAGGCTGGCTGCACCCAACTGGCCTGGCATCTGAAGAAGCATCCAGGTGGCACACTGAAGACCCATGTTTAGTTGTGACCCTGTGGCACAGAGGAGCCACAAGAGGCTGTAGTGGCCTCCTTGAACACATGTTAATTCTCCACTCTGAGCACTGGGAGCTCCTTTAGACTCTGCTCTTCGGAGACCCTGACCCAAGATCCTGGACCCTAGGTTAGAGGGACAATAAAAGATGTGGTCATCAAGGACTTAATATGGAAGAAGAGTTCATAAATAACTGAGTAAATTTAAATCGTAAATAACCGAGTAAAATTAAATCGTAAATAACTGAAAAAAAAATGTGTTGTTACCAATTGTTTCAGACCTCCAATGCAAAGGCCAGCCCTTCAGTCTCCCACCTGGTCCTCTTCTGGCCCAAAGGAGGGGTTAGGCAGGGCAGGAAAGAAGAAAACCTTGAGCGCCCCCTGTAGGGCAAAACATGTGCAGCTCCCGCAGTCATTACAAGCTAGGATAAGCCCTTCTCACTATGGTGTCAGAGGGAGGGTGAAGTAGAAGCTGATTTCCCTCCCATTCATCATGTGCACTATGGATTTCTGGATGTTTGCACTGGTGGTGTAGAATAGTGCAACAGCGTGTTAAAACCTCTCTAAGGTTACTTAAGATCAGTCGGGTGAAACAATGGAAATGATTTATTTACTAACGTCAACCATGAGGGCAAGCTTCGAGTCTTCTGTGTGAACAGGAAGCACATATAAGCCACTTCTCCAAAAGTGTGATGGTCGCCTTGAGGACAGCGCTTAGCTAGCAAGTCTAACTTGAACTGGCTGCTTTCTCTTTATTGCAATGAATGCTCAGAGCATTCTAGCATGAGCGTTGGTTGGTATTTTCTTGAACAATCCCTGTGAGCCTCTGACTTGGATGAAAGCAACTGGGAAATGTGTTGCTGATGTTCAGATCTGAGCTTTGGGGGGAAGTGGTAATTTGGGAATTTGTGCACCACAGTTTGACAGCTTCAAAGGCTTTGTGTACTGTAATGATAGGGATCAACATTCAAAAGGCCGGGTTTTATCAGTGAACCCCATTTCCTGAATGTGGTGAGATAATCTTTTCAGATGCTGTGAATATATATTATTCTCATTGGCTAATAAAAAAGCTGTTTGGCCTATAGCTGAACAGGTTACAGTTAGGTGAGACAATGAACTGAGAACTGGGGTGAAGAAGGACAGAGTCAGGGGAGATGCCGGCCAGCCTCTAAGAAGGCAGGATGTATAGAAAATGAGGTAACAAGCCATGAGCCACACGGCAAAGCGTAAGCAGAAATATGGGTTAATTTAAGCATAAGAGTTAGTTAGTTAGTAAGCAGCCTGAGCTATTGGCCGGGCATTTATAATTCATTTTCAGCCTTTTAGTTGGTTATTTGGAACTGGAAATGTCCGTTTTCATATGGATGATGGATGGATGATGTCATAGTATGGTGCTTGGTCAGTGCAAGGTGAGCCAGTTGTAACTGAGTGTGCAAAGCCCATGAAGTTCAGATTCCACACTGTTAGTACCTTAAAGAAACTGTGCTCGTGCAGGTTCACATCTGGAAAGTCAGCATTCAAAGTCAGGACTCTGTCCTGAGATAGCGGTCAAGAACTTGGAGCCTTCTTTATCTAGCCAAGGGTGTTCAGGGGTGGGGAGTATGAAGTGGTGAGGCCATACAAAGAAATAAACCTAGGGATGCTGGTTTCGTTATCTTGCCTTAATGAATGTTTATTGTGCCGTGGCCCTTTGCCGCCATTTACAGCAAGCTCCTCCTCTCTTCAGCGGCTCCAAATGGGAGGAACCTTGCCTGCGACGTTTTGGAGAAATTTGCTCTCTCTGATATTGTTTTCCACAAAGGTTTGGTGCTGCTGTTTTGGTGGGAAGTAGCTGCTCTCTTCTCTGTTTTAGTGTGAGATCTCCCAAGTGCCACAGACTGAGCACTGATAAACAGGAGAAGCCGGTTGCTCGCGGTGTCAGTGGCGAGAAGTGCAAAATCGATTTATTAGTGATTCCTGTCTGGTGGATGACACTGGCTCACGGTGTCCAAGCCCTCTGGGGTTCTGGACACTATTCCACCTTAAAGACCTATCACCTACAAAAGGCCTCACCCTGCTCAGACCCTTCCTCCGCCTTCTCGCCTCTCCCATTTCCCTCTGTTCCTTCATGCCCACCCCCTCCTCTCTGCTTCTTACTCTGCATCTGGGCCTCAATCTGAGTTAAAGATGTTGTCCTGCAGCCAGCCCCGCTCATTTTCTGTATTCTGTGCTTGGCAGAACTGGAGGACACAGGGTGTGTGGCTCACTCTCTGGAAAGGAGAGAGAAGGTAATGGTCACAGGAACCCTTCTGTGAGAACTGGTCATCATGACATTTCCTGTTTCCTAGCACTTACCATTCCCACCACGTGCAGCTGGCCCTGGGGGGTGACTGCTTGCCCACATCGTATTCAAAACAGCTAGTACTTTCTGTGAACCAAACTGGAGTGATAGCTTAGCTTGCCTGTTTTTATATTATACATAATCAAAATACAAGTTGTATTTTTCATGACTCCATTTTTCAACCATCATAGTAAGCTGCCATTCTCAAGGTTATGCCTTTATTGATTACGTGTGTGTGTGTGTGTGTGTGTGTGTGTGTGTGTGTGTGTGTGTGTGTTGAAAACAAAAAGAAGATCATGAGAGGTAAGAGAAAGATCTTAAGGAAGAGGGTAATAGAATCTGGGCAAACTGCGGGAAGAAAGGACCCCAGTTAAAGGGGGAAGAGATATGTGGGTGGGTAGTGAGGGAGAGGAATAGATTAGAATAAAATATATTGACATATACTTTGAAGGCACCACATTACTTTGTAAGCTAACCTACAAAATTAATTGAAGGAGGGGACAAAGTCTCACTATGTAGCCCCAGCTAGGCTGAAAATTATTTTTTAGTGTAAAAGAGTTTAAAAAGAATTTCAGTGACCTCTCCACCCAGCTAGATCCTACATTGAAATAAGCACTGAGGAGAACACAGCAACAAATTTATAATAGCAGAATGTTTACTGGTCATGGATGGGTGGATAGTTTTAATAAATCTCAAGAATGAAAATAGTTTTTTTTTTTCAAAGTGCCACACTGTGGTTAGAAGTTTTCATTACCTGAGCTTGAGATTAGTGGAGCAGTTTATTCTTTATTAAGAAAGATGTACATTTGGAGGAAGTGAATGTAGTAGTCTAAGGAATATTGAGGCTGAAAGTGTATTTTAAAGTCTGCTTTCCAACCATACAGCTGAATTATACTAGCATAGACCCAATGCATCAATTTCTTACCAAATGATAGCATTTGAGGAATCATGTGTTATTGTAAATATACTACAAAGAAATTAACAGGTGCCATAACTTTCGTTACTCTTTAAAACATTTTTCAATTCTCTAGTATGTTCCCCGACTCTCCCGCCTGTTCACAGTGGCATTTGGTGCCCTCTAATGAACTGTTCATCTCAGTTACTGTACTCTTTAGCTCTGAGAATTCATATAGAATCGTTGAAGTGATGATAGAAGAGACATTTAGAAAGTAGAGTATAAATAGCCCGAGACAGCACAAAAACATTGTCTTATGAAAGTAAAAGGAAGGGACACACACAAAAGTGTACTGATTCCTGCGGCCCAGCACATGACTGTTTCCCATTTATATGGCATGAGCCAGAAAACTAGTTGTCAGCTTTCCAAAGCTTCTAATAGTATTATGTCAAAACTGTGTCAGAGGGGTTGGAGAGATGGCTCAGAGGTTAAGAGGTTAAGACCTCTTCCAGAGGTCCTGAGTTCAATTCCCAGCAACCACATGGTGGCTCACAACCATCCGTTATGAGATCTGGTGCCCTCTTCTGGTGTGCAGATATACATGGAAGCAGAATGTTGTATACATAATAAATAAATAAAATCTTAAAAAAAAACTGTGTCAGAGCATCAAATATGTAGTACAAATATGTATATTTTAGATGAAGTTGTCTATTCTACAACAGTAGAATAAGTTAGGAAAGTATGTCAGGTGCTACTGAATTGAAACATAAGCAATGGGTAGTTGTGGTGGTCGAGGTTTGGGAGTCACTGAGAGATTGTATGGGAAACTGAAGGTCAGAGCAGAAGGCACTGGAAGGGTGGTCCTCTCTTCCGGGGGTAAAGGGCTTCACAACCCTGAGACTGATGCTTCCTGTTGAGAGCAATAACCTCCAATCATTTTGGCTGGAACTGATGTCTCCCCCAGAGGGGGAGGTTATGGTGTGCACCTCGAGTTCTAGAAAACAAGAACAGGTCAGGATCGTGGGCTAAAGCAACGGTGAACTCAGGACACAAAAGAAAAAAAAAAAACAACCAATGTTCCATATCCATTGGATGCTTCAGGGGGCTCACACCTTGGGTGTCCCTGGGTGAGGATCTCAATGTGGGTGCTCTGTGGCAGGCGACAGCATCTTCTCCGATAGTGGCTCTGAGCTGGGATAGTCCAGTCTGAAGTGATGCCTTTTCCAGCTGTGAGCTCCAAGATGTGTTCTCTTAGATGTGGGTCTGGGGCTCCCTGGAGTGCAGTGAAGATCTCTGTGAAGGTTGTATGCACCAACAAAGCTGCTGGCATTTTTTAACAGGCTGCCCAGAAAGGTATACTATGTCCCTTTGGAGGTGCCAAATACACAGAGTGAATGGGAGGGTGCTGAAATTCTCACTGAACAGAACATAGCAGCAAAATTTGCATGATTCCCCTGAGGGCAAGCATTCAGTCTGCATCCTGGCCTCACCGTCCGCCTTCTGCCTTCCACATGTGGCTCAGCAAGCTGGAGTGTGAAGAGTTGGACCCCTTTGTCGTCTGCTGCATGCATGTAGATGGACTGAGCAGGTGCCAGTCATTTGCTGCATGAGCTGATTCTAAAATTTCAATTCATTCTGGCAAATGTACACACCACCTGCTAGCCTCACCAACCTGGAACAGCCTCTGAAAAGAAATGCACCCTTGAAGCTTTCATCTGATAGCAGCACCTGCTCACGGGACCCGTGGTTGGTTATCGACTTTGTATTCCAGTTAGCTGTTCCTTTCCTGCACGTGTAACTCCTCTTACATTGTCTTACATCAGTCTTTAGTCTATGTGGCTTGGGTCACTTGGTGACTATACTTGGTCACTGAGGACAGCACGGTATAGAAGAGAACCCCAGCCTGGAGGACTGGTGTGAATAGAGGACGGTGATCTGTGCAGGGTTGGGGACAGAGCCAACTGCCAAGGATTGATTTCTCACGGGTTCGTGAGCCACTTCCTACATCCTCCATATCCATCTACTGGGTGGGTAAGCCCAAGCCTTAGGACACAGGGTTCACGCTGGTGTTTTCCCTTCTGACTGTTGAAAGTTGTTACCTGCCTTGAGTTGGGAACATTTTCATTACACCTGTAAACTTACTTGCCCTTTTGGTTTATATAAGATATTTTTAAGTGTGGTTTTAGCACCAAGTAATTTTTTAAAATTTAATTTATTTATTATGTATACAACATTCTGCTTCCATGTATATCTGCACACCAGAAAACGGCACCAGATCTCATAGCGGATGGTTGTGAGCCACCATGTGGTTGCTGGGAATTGAACTCAGGACCTCTGGAAGAGCAGTCAGTGCTCTTAACCTCTGAGCCATCTCTCCAGCCCCTATGTAAGATATTTTTAACTCAATTTTGCTTTTCTATTGTTCAGCAAGAGCATTAGGTCCCATTAGGTCACTGTGGGAAGAAAAGTAAAAGAGCATCCGGACACCAGGGTGAGACAAAATGAGATAAACTGCACCGGGCATGGTGGCGCACGCCTTTAATCTCAGCACTGAGGAGGCAGGTGGATCTCTGAGTTCAAGGCCAGCCTGGTCTACAGAGCAAATTCCACGGCTACACAGAGAAACCCTGTCTCGAAAAACAAAGCAGAGCAAAAGAAAACCAAAGTGAGATAAATCGTCACCCCAGCAATATCCTGTCTCATCACAAACACATCCAAGCTGTCCCATGTTTTCCAGCCTTTCCCACACCTCTCACAATGTTTGGGCACACGACCTGTGGTGGTGCACACGTCAAAGTTGACAATCACAAAACCTCCAGGCTTCCCCTGTGTCATCTTCTATAAGTGTACAAGCTGATTGCGCATCCGAGTGAACAGACACAAACCTGGAATGAGGGCTGAGAACAACAACTGACCTTACTCATCTGGTTCAGAAATCCTCTGAAGATTTCCCACGGGAACAACGTTGGTTCTGAATGCTGGGGCTTCCGGTCAACAGTGAGATCTGCTTTTCCTTGATGAGCAAATGAGTCTCGTGCCACTGCCCATCACTCAGTGAACACGGATTTGGCTGTAGGTTCCTTGACCTCCCCCGTATGCACTTCGTCTCCACAGTTCACTCTCCTCAGCTCTGCCACCGTGGCCACACCAGAAATAACTCTCTTCGTAGGACATTTTTGAGCTCCACAATTCAATTCCGTACAACACACGGCCGAAGCAACAATTTTGGCACCGCAATGTAATATAGTTACCAGCAGGTGGCGCCCCATTCCTAGTCTGTCCCTGAGGTTTACTAAAACCAGCTAAGCGCCAACTAGCGGCACATTTGAGCCCTAGGCTAAAATAGCCTGTTCACCTTATCAGTCTTAAAAATATAATAGATTGATAGAAATCTTGAGGTTCGGTGAGGATTACAGGAGATTTTTTTAATTTTTGCGTGGGAGGCATCGAAACAGAGTCTCACTTTATAACACAGGCTATCCTCCTCTAACAGTCTCCCCAAGGAGATGAATACTGCAAGTTTACTCTTCACAGGGTTGGAGCAATAGCTCAGTGCTTAAGAGCACTTGTTGGTCTTGCAGAGATCTTGGGTTTGGTTCCCGCCCCGACATGGCAGCTCGCCTCTATCTGTAACACCAGTTGCAGGAGATCAGAGGCCCTCGCCTGACCTCTACTGGTACTAGGCAGGCACGGGGTACACATGCAAGCAAAAACACTCATGCACATAAAATAAGCAAATCTAACAAACAACAACAGCAAAACCTGTAGTGCTCACAGTTCCCAAGGCACACCCTGGAGAAACATCAGTGTCACCAGGAGGCAGAGGGAACAAAGAGCTGTGGGCAGAGCTTTTATTGTGGTTCCTGTGCGAAGAAACAGCTAAAACAGGGTTCCACGGTGGGAATATTTGAATTGTTTAGGGGGCTCTGGGGCACAGGGCTGTCCCAAGTCGTCTGATCCCCAGCCTGAGGTAGTGAGGGCAGGGGATAGAGTGCCTGAGAGCCCCAGGCTGGTGAAGGAAACAACAGTGAAGAATTTACCCACAGAGAGCCGCTAGAGCGCTGTGGGTTGGGACCCCCTTTGGGGTCACATCAGATATTTACATTACGACTCATAACAGTAGCAAAATTACAGTTATGAAGTAGCGGTGAAATAATTTTATGGCTGGGGGTCACCACACCATGAGGAACTGTATTAAAAGGTCACAGCATTAGGAAGGTTGGGAACCACTGTTCTAGAGTGTCTGCAAGGGAAACTCTGTTATGCTGGGAGGACTGTGATCAACCAGAAAGATAAAGGACAGGAGTGGATGGGAAAGGGGACAGGTTGGAAAGTACAGCAAACATGCCTTGACTCAGCACAAAGGCCAGGACAGACCAAATGAAGGAGAAACAAAGTTCCATCCACTATCAAGCAAATAAAATAATTTTGTACTTTGTTTTACTTCGGAAGAAACTTCTTCACTCTTAACACATAGTAGTTACCTTATTTGGGGATTTATTTCTTTTCCTCTCCCCCACCCTCTTTTCTTGGCTGGCCTCAAACCCTCTGTTTAGAACAGGCCTCAAACACACAAAGATCTGCTGACATCTACTTCTGCCTTCAGAGTTGGGATTAAAGGCATGGGCCACCCTGCCCAGCTAGGGAGTCTATTTCTAATCACCCCAGACAGAGAAGACAACAACATAACAAAGAAATGATTCCATTTAGGTTCATCTTGGTGTTGCCAGTATGTTCTGGGGTTACTCACAGCAGCATGGCACTGTCACCAAAGTCACCCTAGCACGAATGACCAAGCATGAAAACAGCATCCGTGAACTTCCCAGCACAACATGTAGGCAGTGCCACCACAGGCTCATCTCTGCTCCAGCAAGTGTATAGAACCTTGGGTAGGAGGCTTCATGACCCCTATGGGTTTCTTGAAAATTCCACAAGCCTCCCAGCCCCTTTCCTTCCTCCAAGAAGGAATGTTTCAATCCCAAGAAAATACCCACACAGTAGCATGTCCATGTGACTTGACTCTGCTCTGTCCTGGTACTGAGACAGAGTCTGGTCCATGGAAAAAAAATCAGCAAATATTCATTAAAAAACAACAGCAGCAAAGTTATCACAGTTCATCCTGCTTTACTTAATTGAAGTTCCTTGGGTCACAAGCTTGATAATAGACTAACAGTTTCAAATGAACTCATTAACACTGTGTTCCTTTAAATATTGTAAACACTTGTCCAGCCTCCTCTTTTTTTTTTCCCTCTCTTTAAATTTGACCTATCTGCAATAAAATTCTACTGAACAACAAGCTTTAGCTTAGACCAAATGGAACAATTAGAAATTTGGAAGAAGCAGTTGGAGTTAATCAGTTTCTACTCTGTAAAGAATAATTAGAGAATTTTAGAGCCAGGGAGATCTTAATTTGTGCATGTGTTAATTAAGTTCCTCTAGGTTAGCTAAGGAGGTGGGAGGGGAAATAATGCACGGCACAGGCTGTGTGGGGATGAAAGGAAGGTCGCTTGGTTCCCCGACAACCTTGATTATAGAATTTAAGAGAGTATACAGTGTCCTGTCTCTGTGCTCCCCCAAAACTGTGGATCAAACTGGGGCTCATACATGGTAGGCAAGCACCTTTCCATTGAGCCCCATTTCCAGCCCTACCTTTGTCTTTAACATAATTACTCAGGGTTAAAGTTCAAGGTTGTCAGATAACCCCGGAACTTTCAGTAAGTAGACCTATACCATTCTGCTTCTTTCTCCTTAATGTTTACAACTAAGAGACAAATCATGGGTATAAAGCTTATAGAAGTCGACGTTATTTATTACTATTACTGTTGTTACAAGCTGTTATGTAACCCAGGTTGGCCTAGAGGTTGATCTTACCTTCCAGTTCTCCTCCCTCCACTTCCCAAATGCTGAGATTACAACTGTGTACAAAATGCCCAATGTTTTATATTGCTTTGTCTTAGACAGTTAAAGCAACGTGATAATATAACGATTCCACTAATTATGTGACAGGCATATTTTTAAACCCCAAGACTATACCAGTGAAGAAGAAAGTCACGGCAATGGTCAGACAAACTACCTGAGATAATCATCTTAACAGGAGAAAAGATTAATTTGGGCTCCTGGGTTTGAAGCAATGATGGGAGACTATCTCCTATCTCAAACTGGGTTCCTGTCCTGCTCTCCTCCAAAAACAGCAAAGACTACAACCCGGAGGAACTCTATTGTCAGTTCAGAATGAAGACCCTTAAGTGGGATCTCACAATTTAAATCAGATTGCCACATGGGATTTAAAGGAAGCAGATGTCAACTGTTGACGAACACTAAGATGCTAGCTAGCCAAGGGTCACTAATGCTCTGAGAGGAGTCAGTATAGCTCTGGCAGAACTGGGAACTGTCATAGCTCAGCAGCTCTCAAGGGATAGTCACTTGTGGTCCAAGTCTACAGGTCAGTCAGGAGAGTGGCAAGGGCAGCAGGTCTTAAGGGTTGGGTTTGCGGGTCTGGAGCAGGGTCTTGGAGGTGGAAGCCACTGCAGGATTGAATTTCTATCTGTAGCTAGGTTCAGGGTCTTGGAGGCCGACACGGGAATGAGTCCCTCTGCCTGCAGCCTCTGGTAGGTACTGGAGGCTGCTCAAGAGACCTCCCTATCTAGGGCAGAAGCCTTGGGCACAGAGCTGGTATGGCTGTCCCTGGCAAGTCCTCCTTTTCTGATGGGAGCTGGACCTACAGTCTCCTTATGAAGAGAGCAGGAATATTGGAGGCTGGACTCACAGCAGAGGCTCTGGAGTCTCTTCTTCACCTGTTAGCTGCTATGGCTGTTCTGTTAGTAAAGATGCTGGTGTCAGTGTTTAGAGACATGCCAGGGTGCCAGTTGGGCATTTATTGGATGAACATAGAAGTGGTGATTTGAATGAGAATGCCTTCATAGACTCAGGATAGATATTTAAAAATCATGTCTCCAATGGTGGAACTGTTTCAATACGTTTAGGAGATATGGCCTTGCTAAAGGAAGTCTCTCTCTCTCCCTTTCTCTCTCTCTCTCTCTCTCTCTCTCTCTCTCTCTCTCTCTCTCTCTCTCTCTTTCTCTCTCTCTCTCCCTTTCTCTCTCTTCCTTCTCTCCCTCTCTCCCTCTCTCTCTCTCTCTCTCTCTCTCTCTCTCTCGCTCTCTCTCTCTCTCTCTCTCCTCATCCTTCTCTTCCTCTTCCTCTTCCTCTTCCTCTTCCTTTCCTCACGCCCCCTTCATGAAGTTGAAGATGTGAGCCCTCAGCTCCTTGCTCCTGCTACCATGCCTTCACTCTGTCATGGACTCTTAACCCCTGGAACCATAACCTCAAATAAACTCTTCTATAAGTTGCTTTGGTCATGATATTTGGTCACAGCAGCAGAAAAGTAACTGATACAGTAGGTGTGCAAATAAGGTGAAAAATAGGACCAATCAGAGAAGAGCTGTCAAACCTGGTGGGAAAGGGAAAGAACTCTGAACCTGCCAAGTCTCTAAAAGTTCCATGATGAGATTACCAGGTCTCCGTTTCAGCCCCAGTAGAGAAAGTAGGAAAAAAGTTTCTGTCTGTTGCCAGTTGCTACAGGGACCTTTAAAGGCTGCCGGCTGCTTCCCTCCTTCCCTGCTTAGACAGGGGAGTTCACCAGCCAGGGTTTGGCTTCTTTCCTTTTTGCTGCTGCACTAAGCTGTCAGCTCAACTGCTGTCACCTCACTATAGATCTTTGCCTCCTAGCTCTCATCTGCCTCTCCTCCCAAAGGCAGCAGAATCACCCACAGTCACTTGTTCCTGCTGCTTCCTCCCGCCAGGTTCTGCCACCTCCCAATAGCCCCAACTTGTTAGGTTTCAAGACCCCCCAAATGACTGAGGTGCCTATTCAACATATCAAAGCTGACCAGGCTGCTCCTGGGCCCTCCTGGCTGGCACACCCTGCTTCTACCCTGAACTCTCCAGCCCAGGGGGCTGGGCCGTTCTTCCCTACATAATCAAATCATTTGGGTTACCCACCTTTTTTGTACCTTTGACCTCCTGGCTGCTGCATTTGGTCCCCCTTTTCTCTCCTCTCCTTTCCCTTCCCCCGTCTCTCCGCACATGGCCCAGCTCAGTCCGGTCATGTCCACTCTGGACATGAGTCCCCCCCCACACACTATGTTCTCCCACATATCTGTAATAACCTTTCTCCTCTACCATACCTAGGAGAAGTCATGCCCTTTCCTTTTTTCTTTCTGTTTTTCATTCACAACTGAGCACCAAGGGCTTCACACATGAGCCTCTGCTGGACATCCCAGATGCGGAGTGACAGCTGTGCTCACATTCTCCAAGCTTAACCAACCGTTTGTCCACTTCGTGTTT